TCTTCTTTCCTCTTCTTCCTTCCTCTTCCATTTATTTAACTTAGAAGCCTTTACAAGTGCTTCCTAAAAGTCCATTGTCTGCCTCCTCCCTAACTTTTCATTAGGAAGTTTCCTTCCTAACGAAATTAACAGTGGAAATCCTGTTATAGGATTCTTTCTTCTGAAACACTAGATGCCATTTAACTTGCCCATAAAGYAGCTGCTGTTGTGGGGCAGTTGCCACTGATGTTTAAAGACAGGGATGAGTATCCATGTGTTTTCTTTTTCATATACTTTTTTTTAATTCATCCCCCTCGTGTCTCTTCCAGGGCTGCGTTGATCATCCGATAGTGCTGACGGAAGCTGTGTGCAACCCCCTGTACTCGAGGCAGATGATGTCGGAGCTCCTCTTCGAATGCTACCAAGTGCCCAAAGTGTCCTACGGCGTGGACAGCTTGTACAGCTTCTACCACAACAGAAGGCAGAACTGGCCCTGCAGCGGTTTGATAATATCCTCAGGTTACCAGTGTACGCATATTTTGCCAGTCTTAGAGGGCAGGTGAGTTCTTGGTGTCTTAAGTGCAATGATTTTCACTCTGCCATTGACTTTTTTTAGTGCTTAAAATACMTGTTCCTCTAGCATTAAGTGTTCTGGCCTCTACATTGTGAGTTCCTACCAGGTCTTACTATCTATACTGAAGAGAAGAACTATATGTGCAGCTCTTGTTAAYGCTGACTGAACTTTGAATTGAAGTGGGTGCTGTCCTTCTGTGTATTGCTCTTCAGTTACTATTCAGACATTCAAATTTTCAAAAACAAAAGAAGCTGTGTGCTTTGCACAAGATCRGATGTGAAAAGCAAGTATTTAATGCAGCTTTTGGGAGAAAAGAGAGTGATATCTGTGCAGGCCTTACGAAGGTGGTCTGCTTAGGCTGCTATGTTGGTGTCCCCTCTTGAAAATCCTCAGTGCCARAAGTCATTTTGTGTTGCCTGGCAGTTACCTCAAGACTTTTAGCGTAGTACCTGGCTCATTGTGGAAGGACACAGAGGTGAGAGGAAGCAATTTTTGGCTCTGCTAACCATTACTTCACTTCTTGAAAAAGACCAAGACATTTGGCTTTCTGTGGCCAGAGTTATTTCATCTCTAGCCATGGAGTTCCAAGCTGGCCTTAAATTTTGCAAAATTTAATTCATGGTGATGTGCAACTATAGTTGTGTGTTCATATGCTGCCAACAAGCTCTTTATGATTTAATTCCAAGTTTCCCTAAACATCATCCTTATTAAGCTTTAATAAAACTATAAACCGATAGACTCTCTGTTCTTAGTCTTAATTAAAAGTTTTTACCATCTGATAGCCTTCCAAATATAATGAGAAATAGAAATTCTGGCTAAACCTTTGCTCTTTATAGGGGAAGTTGAATCCTTCATTGTTCTCCCCGCTGCATTGATTTTTGGCTTCTTTTTTTCCTCAGAACAGAACCTTTCAAAAAGTACTTGTAAAAATCAAAGCAGTGCTTATGGTTGTTGTCTGGGAGAAGCCAAGGTGTTAACTTCTTGTAAATAAAATTTGGAAATTACTTGAATTTACCTCTCTCTACTTGATTGTATCAGATATGAAGTAGTTATGAAGATAGTAGAAGGTGCATTTTACCTTTGACTTGCAAATCTCTCCAGTCTCACTTCTCTTTCTTGGGTTTTCAGGTTGGATGCTAAAAACTGCAAGCGTATTAATCTTGGAGGGTGTCAAGCTGCTGTGTATCTGCAACGCCTCCTTCAGCTAAAATACCCAGGACATTTTGCTGCCATCACTCTCAGCCGTATGGAGGAAATACTGCATGAGCATAGCTACATTGCAGAGGACTATATAGAAGGTAAGGACAGCTGTAATTTGTCACTAGGTAACGTTAATCCAACCTCAACTCTGTCCTCTGCATCCCTTCTCAGACTGGCTGAGTTCTGACTGACATATACTGGCTGCTGATATGCCTACCTATATCTATATATAGGTATATGTAATTTTGACTGCTAATATACTTCTTGCTTTGCAACTCTTTTTCCATTAATCCACTTCATAGTGAAAGCTTGACCACAGCTTCAGAGTTCTGTCATAAGATGCCATAAAATGAAGAATATAGCGTTAAGCTAGAAATAAAATAAAAAGCTAGAAATTAAAAAGTCCTTTYTGTATTCATTCAGATACCTCTGTGAATGATAATTGGGATTGTTTTGAAGGGAAATATTTTAAAATCAACCTTCAGAATATTTCAGAATATTTCTGAATATTCTGAATATTTTTGAATAACCTTACTAAATTGTTTTACTGTCTACTCCCAGTAAAATGTTAGAATCAGAGCTCATCCTGCCCAACCTTTTTTTCTTTTCCTTTGCTTTCCTGTACCCCTAGCATAATGGTTTCAAGAGTTTTCAGAACTGCAGAGAAACACMTGTTGTGTGTGTTGTTAGTTTTTCCTGAAATTTGTCACACCTGAAAYAGTATTTAAAGAAGAAAACACCTTGCTCTGGCACTATGCAAAAGTCCTTAAAAATATGAGGAATTTCTCTCCCTTACTGTGGGTAGAAGTACTTCAAAGGTGCGTCTTRAGCCTTTGTGTTTCTTCTTTTTTGGAGATCAGAGCCCTAAGGAACATTGGCTTTGTGTGTGGTTAGAAGGTAGTGCTTTGAGGGAASCTAAATAAGGGGAATGGTTGCCAGGAGGTGGGCAGAGTCCTAGACTAGGCTGTTCCCTTCTTTCTTTAAAGTCTGAACTCAAAGTATGGAATGCTTATAAGATAGAAATCATTATTTTCAGCCTAGCAAAACAGTAATTTTTATTTTCAAAACATCAGAGCTGCAAAAGTGGCGCTCCCCAGAGTACTATGAGAACAACATGCACAAGATGCAGCTGCCTTTCTCCAACAAGCTCCTGGGCAGCACCCTGACGTCGGAGGAAAAGCAGGAGAGGCGGCAGCAGCAGCTGCGTCGTCTTCAGGAACTAAATGCCCGTCGTCGAGAGGAGAAGCTGCAGCTCGACCAGGAAAGGCTCGACAGGCTGCTCTACGTACAGGTAATCATGATAAGGAAGTTCCCCATGTTACCGTGGGGTCAGGCTGCACTTAGAGCCTCATTGGAGAGGTCAKATGGTGCTGTAAAGAAGATATGACTGTTCCAGCTGTCTTGTAATGTCACAGCTGCCTTGGTCACTGTAAATAAGCTGTGGCTGGCCCAGCTGTTTTATGAGGTCATACGGGCTTCTTAAGGTTACTAGCAACATAAAATTGAAAGGTTATTGATGCAGGGGGTGTCTCGAGGTTCTGAGGGCACTTTTGTTTGTGCTTCAGCAGCATTTAAACTTTTCAGTTCTGTAAAAGTGTCTTTAATGGTTTCATAGTGCTGATTACCCCATACTGTACCCACAACTAGCTGTGTCCTGTCTCTAGGAACTCCTAGAAGACGGTCAAATGGATCAATTTCACAAAGCTTTGGTGGAGCTGAACATGGACTCTGCAGAAGAACTTCAGTCTTACATCAATAAACTGAGTCTGGCAATTGAACAAACAAAGCAGAAAATTCTCCAGGCAGAAGTCAATATTGAAGTGGACGTTGTGGACAGCAAACCAGAGGTACAACACTCACCAAGTTCAACTGTTGTTGTTTTCTTTGAGGGAGTTCAGTTTCTGTGTCTGAACAAATGCCTCTGCAGGCAAATTGATTAACTAACAAAGATTTTCATTTAACACGCTGCAACCCCTTGTTAATTTGGCTCTTATTCCTCCCATTACCTGCTTTCTGAGGCATTACAGAAAGCTATGGTGTTTATTTTGTAGCATATGCCTAAAGTCAGTAACTTCTTCTGTGCTGTTTGGGCAGTGCTCTAGAGTATTTCTTCTAGTTTGATTTTTATTTTGTGTGCTGTATAAATCTGAGCCTAATCCCTAGGCTTCCTGACACTTGCTAAAGTGGGCAGTTATGTGAAATAATTTTCATAACAAATTTCTTGCCCATTTGAAGAGGTTGGAGGAAAAGGAAATTGGCCAAATGGGCAGGACCAGTCAAAAGATAAACTGCTTCCCTTGTCTCTGGCAGCAGAATCCTTAGTTAAGGTTAACTTGCTGAGCAGACTTTAAATGTGATGCCTGATCTTCGTAATTAACTTAAATGTGAAACCAGTTCATTCATAACTCAAACCAACCTTGAACTCTGCTTCTGCATTAGTTTTGATGAGTAAGGGAACCTGGTGTATCATTTTTTTCAATTATCTGACATATTGAAGTGATACTGAGCTTTAAATACTTTCAAACCTCAGATTGTTAGGATCCTAGGACAAGCAATGATCCTTAAAAATCTGTAGCCTCTTATTGAAGTTACTGGAGAACTTAAGAAATCCCCCTTTTCTCCCAAAATATCTTTCTTTCTGTTCTTCCCTTTCACATGGGGAGGGAGATTTTTATGGGAATCCCTGAACTTATTGCCTTGTTCCAGCTCCTTTACATGCAATTGCAGRGCAGACTTTGTCTTTTCTCCTTTTTACAACAATGAAAGGTTAATTGCTATGCTTTATTTTAAGGCATGTRATTTAGAGGCTGTGCTAGTTTAATCAGCCTCTCCTCAGGGAAAGGTAGGGAGGAAAACAGGAAAGTGAAGCATAGAGGAAAGTGGTGCCAGGTGTAGAAATTCCCATGTGTTTTGGGGGGAAATGAGATATGGCTAAAACTAGCAGGCGTTCTGCTATCTCCAAGTTCTGTTTYGCCTCCCCTTATCAGCTCATCATCTATAAGTATGAGGACAGTGGGATTTTTTGGCAACCCCACCCTGGATTTATTATTGTGGGGAAGCACCTTCCTGCCTTCTGTCAAACAAAAATGCTCCAGAAAGAAGTAGTTGAAAGTCAGTTTCTTATAATTTTGCCCCATGGTTGTGGCAAGTTTAGACATGTCAGGTTTTGCTSCCTTCCTCCTTTTGTTACGGATTGTCCCGACCTTGGGGTGGATCAGCAGTCCCTTCTGTTTGGTCTATGCTTTGTGAGAAAGCCTATTGTTATCACAGAATTCACCCACGAAGATGGTCTGTTAGGTTGGGGCTGTGTAAAAGAGCTCAAAATGTCCTAGGTCTTGGGCCAGTTCTTCAACAGTTCTACATTCCTTTCTGTTGCTATTTCTTTTTAAGAATAAGAAAGGGAATAGCGAAAAAAGCATTGGAGATAATGAGTAGCAATCCGAACTTAACAGTGAGGACTCCTTAGATTTGGGGTTTGAGCAGTTGCTTGTTTTGAGCATACACTAGATACTTGAGGATTTTTTGRAATGTAGTTTTGTCTCCTCCCCACATTGCTTGCTAAATATTCCTATGAATGTTAGTTTAAATTACAAAAATGAATCCTTAAGATGTCGTTACTGAAGCTGTTTTGTTACAATGATGAAATAACTGACATAATCTTTCTCATTTCCCAGTGATACTCTGGGATCTTGTGTGATACTTCAGGAAGGAGTTTTGGGGCACCTTTGTGTATGTGTAAAATATCTTGTGCTTTTTATATTTTTSTTTGGTTTTATTTATTTTTTCTCCTTTGGATATATTCCGTATAGTAATGCCAGGCAGCTGAAACTAAGCAACTGTCGAGTGTTGTGTGGTGGCTTTGCAGCCAGCAAATATTTGTTTTYCAGACCTACGCAAGCAAGGCAGGGAATTAAATGTTAATTATAGAGCAGTTAGAAGTGCTGGAAATGCACCAAGCTTTAAGCAACTTGAAAAGCTATTTTAATAAGTTTAATATGTTGTTATATTTAGGACATGGCTTAAGATCCTGGCAGCTTTTTGACTTTAATTCCCGAGTCAGCATCATTGGTTATTTTTTTGCTTTGAGTGTATGTATTAACTTTTGCTTTCCAGGTTGTTCACTGCTGTGATTTTTGTTCTTCAGTGCTGGAGAGAACCATGTGGTCTAGTCCAAAAGAGCTGAAGGTTAAGGGATTGGGGTTGAATTTCCCCATGTATCAACAGAGTTACACTCACTTGTATGCCTAGTCCATCAGCTAACCTGCTTCAATAACATGTTCCCTGTTCCTTTTCCCAGACGCCTGATTTGGATCCATTAGGCAGTGAACAGTCCCTGGAGGATGTGGAAAGTATTAATGAGTTTGAGCCTCTGTTTGCTGAGGAGCAGCCTGAAGTTGAGAAGCCTGTTGCTGCAGTGCAGGTTTGACTTCTGTATTTACACCGTGTGCCAGAGATACTGTTTGCTGGTTATTCAACTAGACTGCTGCCATATCTCCAGATGCACTCTTGGGAGAGATYTCTGGATTATTATGAGGAGAGAGGCTTAGCTGATGTTTTTGAGCAAAAGTTCTGCTTGAACATGTTTYGTGTGTGATCCATAGCCCAGTGTCACACCAAGAGGGTCCAGCGAACAAAACATTGAATTTGTGAAGCAGAGCCTTAGAAGTGAGTGCAGCAGATAGAGCATAACTCTAATTTCCTTAGTCTTTTGAAACCTTGTCTTAAAATCCTTTTATTACACCACCCTCTACTTGAGATTGCAGTCTCTTCTGTACAGGACTGTTTAGAGACTTAACTTATAACTGAAACTTTCTGCATGCTTTGCATAGATGATRGCCTTGTACTCAATGCTATTAACTGCCTGCTAGAATAAAGTTGATTGAGCAAATGGAAGCGCTTTGGAGGGGAATAAGAAGAGTGTTTTTATCATACTGTTATTTAACTTATTTTTCTGCTGCTTTCCAATCTTTTACTACTAAAGCCCGTGTTTAACCTGGCAGAGTACCACCAGCTTTTCCTTGGAACYGAGAGAATCAGGGCTCCAGAGATTGTCTTCCAGCCTTCCCTGATAGGAGAAGACCAGGCAGGAATAGCAGAAACCATGCAGTATGTCCTTGAGAGGTAAGTTTCCGAAGTTAGTTGGCTCTTGTTTTTTTACTTTGATTTTACTTTGATTTGGCAGCAATTTGAGAAAAATATACTTSAATAATCATTTTTTGTGGGCTTGAGCACTGCTGGTTAGATGGTTTCATATTCAGGAAACCATATGTAAATCTCTACTTGTATAAGTTCTTACAGAGAAGAGCAACAAATGCTTGAATGCCTTGAAGCAGTGAGCTAGCAGGGTCTGTTTGAGACCCAAATTAGTGTGACCCTTGTGACTTAAGAAATAGGCACACTTGGATAGATAGYTGCTTCCAGCCAACTTGAAGGTTAGAATTAAGTCACCCACCAGAGCAGATGATTGAGAGAGATGGATGCTGCTTCTCAGAGCAYGAGCTGTACAAAATTAATGGGTTATGAGGCACAATTCAATGTGCTTTAAGGATTTTCTTATGCCACTTCACTGAATTTAACAACAAAAAAAGGTTTTCTCAAAGTCATTCTTGAAGACAGGTATTGGTATCCTCCATAGCCGTTCAATTCATAGGAGTGAGGCACTTGAAAGAGTGGAAGTGATGGGGGATGTTTTGTCCTTTGCAGGTATCCAAAGGAGCAGCAAGCTGTTCTTGTCCAGAATGTTTTCCTCACTGGTGGAAATGCAATGTACCCTGGACTGAAAGCCAGAGTCCAGAAAGAGCTCCTGGAAATGAGGCCCTTCCAGTCATCTTTTCAGGTACTTGAGACTTGCACATGAGCAATCTGTTCTACCCTATAAAAGTGTTGCAGATTGGGAGAGGTCAAGTAGGTGGACATGAGCATGGGATGACAGGATACTGAAAACAGTTTTTTCTTGCATGACGGAGTGAAGGGTAAGCAAAGATGCAGCTGTCTTTGAAGAGGAAAAGCTACTTTAGCTAAGGGAACATGGAGCCACAAGCAAGTATATTTGGCTAGAAAGTTGCAGATTAATTTCATAACCATGAGGGTAGTTGGAACAAACGACCTTAGGAGTAGTTGCTGGGAGAAACAAACTTGCTTGAAAAAAAAAAAAATTACATAGAGGATTTATTACATGTAATGCTTAGCTGGGATGGCAGCAAAAGAGGTTCAGTGGTATCTTCTGAACATGTGTTTTTTCTTATTTTATTCTTGCTAGTTAAAAAAAAGCAGCAATGAGGGAAGGATCTGTAAAGTTTGTAATGAAACTTGTAGGAACCTTCCTTGCTGTTTTGAAACCACCTTATGAGTTTTCCCAAGTCTCCTGCCTTCCTGAACAGCAAAATTGTTTGCAGAGCATGAGAAAGAGGAGTGTGAATATAGYCTTGTGATTCTACAGCCATTTCTTTCCAAAATGAGTGCATGTAGCGTTTGGGCCCCTATGTCTGAAAGAAAGTGACTGGAAGTTACCACCATGTAGTGGGTTGTAACATGTAGTGCATGTMGTTCTGGGAAGGGTGTTACTCCTTGTTTTTGAGCCTATGTTTGTGGTCCTTTTTTCCTGCTTCCAATATTGCAGCTTATAACTGTGTAGGAGCTTCCTTCTTTCCATTAAACATGGTCCATGGTGTGCCCCAACAGCAATCTGTCACTTCCTGCATCTCACACATGGCACTCGTGTGGTGTCTAACAGTCATCCCCAGAATTGGACCAGGAAAGCATTTCATGCTGCAGCAATAGGAACATTTTAAATGGAAATAGGAATCTCTGCCACTGGAAAAAGAGCATGCATGGTCTTTTCCCACATATTGCTGCTGCTTAGCCTGCAGGATTCCTCCCTGCTGCTGCAATTCCTGGCAGTGTTGTTGGTGTGCTTGAAGCTTGTTCTGCAGCACCACCACCTCCTCCAGCCTTGACTTCCAGCTGTGAGCACTGCTGGTTGTGAACAGGATGCACCCTCTATTCCTATCCTGTAGGACAGGAATTKTAGATTGTTTTGTCAAGCTATAGAAACCGAGCAGGCTCACAGAAAATTGGTCTCTAACTGAAGATGCTTCAGAGTCTGTCATAACCTTTCACAGGTTATTTAAAAGGCACTGAGTGAACTCAGACTTCTGAAATTAGTGATTTGCACCACATAATAGCCTAATTGGGATTAAAAAAGGCCAGTTTTTGTCCTCTTGTGTTTAGTTCTGAAAGAAATTGGTGTTCTGCACTGACAGGGATCCCCTGCTATCTTTCTCCCATCCAGGTTCATCTTGCTTCCAGTCCTGTTTTAGATGCRTGGTATGGGGCTAGGGATTGGGCAGTGGAATACATGAACCGCGAGGAAGGCTGGATAACCAGGAAGGACTATGAAGAAAARGGGGGGGAATACCTCAAGGAACACTGTGCTTCCAATGTCTACGTTCCCATTCGCCTTCCAAAGCAGGCGCYGCGGACGACGGAGGCGCTGGCACCCAGCAGGACACTGGCGTCCAGCACAGGCGGTGCCTGTGACCAGGCATAGCCCAGGGCCTTGTCCCCTCCTCTCCTGGGGACATAACGGGGCAAGGAAGGGAAGAATTGGTGCTCTGCTGAGCGTAGGCCTCAGCCTCGCCTTGCTGGCTGGTTGGAGAGCTTGCTATAACTCAGCTGGTCACTTGAATGAGGAGGAGGTTGGGGCCAAAGGCTCTGGGCATCAGCTGGCAGTTGTAGTGCTCGTCACCTCTGTAACACAGGAATATGTGTTGGCCAGAAGGAACACAGGAGGGAAGAACATTCCAGTGAATGCACATTTTCTCCAACTTTCTCTCAGGATTTTTATTCAAGTGTGCTTTATACTATTTTTTTAATTAAAAYGTACTGTTTTTATACTTTATATTGCGTGGTCTGAAATCCAGGCTTGTATCAAGCCCATGAGCCCAGCAGGCGTCTCCCTTGCTCGTRGTGTGAGCGCTCGTCAGGACGTGTCATGAGGGACAGGGCTGCCCTGTGGGCTCCCTCCCGAGGCACCTACGACTTGCAGCCTCATTGACTTTTTATTTTCCCCCCCACTCTGCTCTGCATTTCTGAMTAAACCCTCCGTGGAATCTGTGCTGAGACTCGAGGTGATTTCTGCTGGTGAACTGGTGGCCTCCTTGAAACTGCAGACCTGCTCGTATGGAGGATTGCCCAGCTGTGAAGAGAACCCTTCATCAAGCACGGACAGAAGGATTTCCAGCTCTTCTACAGTCCTTGTTTTTTGCAGGAGTGGTGATAGAAGAGGGGAACTCTTGACTGGCGGRACTCTTCTATATTCCTGTCTGAAAGAGTTGGCTGGGGATATCCCTGCCCTTTTTGGGGGCAAGCTAATTTGTAATCGGTACCTTGTAATGCATGGTCTGTTGGCTTTCTCCTTTGGGAACACCTTGGCTCATTCCTTTGGAACCCTCAGGGCCAGCTTTATTTTAGCAAGGCTGGGAAAGGAGGAGACTGCTCCCTTGCCAGAAATCCCCACTGTGGTATCCCAGTATTGTGATGAGTGCCAGCACCCATGTGGTGAGGGTTAACAGAAGCTCCAAGAGGGTTTAAGAGGTCAACAAATTTACCTTTTGACTTGCTAGATAATGTTTAAATTCTGTTTGCAGTCTGACTAAAAGCAGACTAGACTATCATCATCATCAAGTTGTCTTAACAGCTAAACAAACTCTCTTGGTGCTTTATCACAGACTAATGTTTCAGTCATTTGACTCCTTTAAAGAGTAAAGCAATAAGCCTGTATTTGGTTGAATAATTTTAGCTTGCTGCAAAGTGCAGGTTTGCAGGTGGGCCCCTCTCCTCCTGCACAATGAATTCCAGCTGAAATTGGATGGGGAATTCAGGTGTTGTGGTGAACAAGACCCTTTTGCAAGGGAATAATCAATACCAAATGCTGAATTGAAACCTAAGGCACCTCCCTCAGTTTCCTAAGAGCTGTGAACCAGTAGGCTGCAAACTGTTTTCCAATAGGAAAAGATAATTCTATGGGAAAATATCCAAAACTTAATTGGTGAACAAGAGAACCTAATGGTGAACAAGTGGTGGCTTAAAAAAAGTCTAAGAGCTACAGACCTTAAGGTATGTTATGCTGCAGGTTCAAAACAGAATATGAGTGATCTTTTGTTATGAAGTGAGGGTGTTTCTGCCACAGGATTTGATGCATGTAATTTGGGATTCAAATTGTTACCTGTTACAGTATGTTTAAATGTTGGGTCCAACCATTTCAACTGTTTTACTTGTATTAATTTGAAGCAGAGCTGCCTGGTGCAATACAGAGATGCTAGATGAGGTGCTTGCACAGCCTTAGGGAAACATGACCTTGTCTCCTAAATTTTAGCCAGTGATTTGTCCCTCTTTCCCCATAATAACTGAGCAACTAATGAACTTGGACAAAATGATCACAGTCCCTGGCTGTTGTACATGTGTTGGTCATCACCTAATTACTTGGCTAGCAGTATGAAAAGCATGAATGTTGCAGGGGATTAATTTTATCCATTCAGGATAAAATTTCCACCCTTAAGTTCCAATCCAGGGTGGAAAAACCTCACAGGGAAGGGAGGAGAAAATCTGTGGATAGGAAGACTCAYCTGAGGCTCTGAGGGCCTTTGCCAAACGACCTTGGCAATGATACCAAGCTGCTATGTAAGCAGCCCTAATCTTTAGTGTGTTTATCCTCACAAACCGTATCCTGGAAGCTGGCAAAATGCAGTTGTCAGTTCAGAGATGGACAAGTGACTCGCATGTGGTACTCAGTATATTAGGTTCAAAGCAAGAGGTAACCTTATTATATGATTCACTTATTGCCTAATTCAGGTCAAAGAATACAAAAGTACAGCTTGTAATTTAACAACCTTGGTGAGCTCAGACTTTTTAATCTAAAAGTGAGCYCAAAGTGGGTCCCACCTTTCACAGGGCCCATAAGATAGGGGAAACATCACGTCAGTGAGAAGCCCTGGAGACCAAACACAGATGAAGTGTTTAATGTCCCAGATTTCCTTTGGAGCTGTGTGCTGGGCTTGCTGCTGCTCTTCAAGGTTCCTGATGTTTCCTGTGCTATAGCGACTTCAAACAGCCACACTTCTCTGCTAAACCTCTGCTAGGACACCCAGATTAGAACTCTTTGCTCCAGTTATTCATCTCTGAGATACTTAATGTGCTGGGTAAGGCAGCACTGCAGAAGAAAGAGAAGATGCCTGTGAACTGTCGCCTGAAATTTAGGATTATCCCTTCAGAGGCAGCCTGCAGTGATCCTGTAGCAGCTGCTTGTAAAGCAGAAGTTTTGAAGCTTGTGTGGGATGAGCAGGGACGTGGAGAATGTTGTAGTGGATTTAACATTATCCTCCAAGTCATATGGTGGGATTTCCACCCCAGGCCCATGTTTCAGGCACGGTGCAGCTGTTCTGATTCCCATTATTTATCCTTGCTGCTGTTTTGCAGATAGCCACGTCCTAAATACTGACCTCAGTGAAGCATCTGAGTCCTAAATGGCTCAAATCCCTGCTTGTCCAGCACATTTTGCTGAATGTCCTTCAGACTACTACTTCCTGCCTCTTTTCAGATGATCATTTTCTATGTTTAATTGATGCATAGCTTTTGTCCTCCTTGTTCTTTGCMTAAGCCTAACTCTAGCTCTTATGGCAACAGAGTGATATATTTCAAGGTTATTATTTTTCAGGTTATTACTGTTTCTGTGCTCTCAGGAATATCTTTTTTTTCCCCTTCTCTTTTTGAGCAGATGGGTTTGTTTCCATTTCATACAAGTTGCGTGTTCAGATCTTGGTTTTGTATCAGCAAAGTTAACCCAAGAGCAGAGCRATGAGTCTTGGCGCTAACAGCGGAACAGGGAGCACTTACTGCAGAGCTGTAGGAGGACTGAAAAGAAATGAAGGGGGAGGATACCTGACAAAATCACAGGTATTGGGTAAATTGGTGCCTAATACACAAGTGGGCATAAGCAGCTGGGAGATCTTTAAATCAGGCATTTCCTGGAGCTGAAAGAATATCATATTATGGTGAGAACCACTTCTGGATTCTTTCTCTCACTGGAATTGACTGCTGTTGATCACTACCAGAATATGGGGCAAGGCAGATTTATGGTCTCACTTGGACTTGTTTTTTTTATTTATTTTTTTCTTCTAATATTCCTGTTCCTAAGCAGGGCAAGATTTTTGTAGACTTTTTGCTTGTATCAGGACTTGAGGGAAGTACCAAGTGACTTCTTCCTTTGTCTGTTGAGGAGATTCTGCAAAAGTAATCAAAAAAAAAAAAAAAAACCCAAAAAAAAAACAATCAAGAGGAGCCTAATTCCTCTCAGGTGGTCTGGTTGGGAAAATGAGGTTTTTGGCATGCAAGGGGGGGGGGAAAAAAAGGTGCATTTACTCAGGCCCCAGTCAGATGAATTCGAAGAGGAGAGAGACCTTTAGAGAACACTGAAGCTACAAGTGTGCCAAGGAAATGGGGTAGGATGCGTGCGCGGTCAGAAAATGCATCTCTTCAAGTACAATCTTGGGTTTTAGATCCAAAATGGCTTAGTCTTTGAGGTACATGATGGACAGTGAAGTGGTGGCTCTCCAGTTTCCGTCTTGAAGACCATGTTCAATTGGGTGCATTCCTGTAGATGAGGACCAAAGGTGTGTRATGGAACTCTCTGTGTGGGAGAAGTGTTGGTAACATGTATCCTCCAAAAATAATTAAGACTTAGTGTAGCTGGTACAGGTGTAGGAGGCTCTTCCCAAGTGTCCAAGCTGCTTGAGCTGTTTCTTGCAGCTGAAACCTGTGTATTTTCCTTCTCCCTAAGCTATTGTGCTGCTTCTGCATCTCCTGCAGCTGAATCCGCCACTCAATACTTTCAGTAGAAAAATTACCTCCTAAGAGCATGGGAGGCAGAGGATCGGTGGCATTTTCTGAGGCTTGCTGAGAGGCAATTAAAAACTGCAAAACTGTAAAAGTTTGGGGAAAGTCTCATCTTTTGCCCCTAAGGATTTTGATGTGGAGTTTCTGTTCCTCAGGGTGTTCTTGCTCTCTTCAAAGGAGAATGAGTCAGGGTAGCTTTTCTTAATTATTAACCGTTGACACTTGCTTTTGCAATTTGAATGGCAGCCCAACCATGATCCCAGTAAGAAACAGCCTGTTTCTTGTTGGTCGAGTCTTGTTGGTCGAGTCTTGCTGCTCTGCTTAGASACGTCCCCAGGGTGCCCCTCTAGGCAGCCTTAGGAATAATGGCAGTTGTTGCTATTGCATGTCTCTAAATTGTTTTATATATGTGATAGTCTGGTATGAAAACTGGTGTAAGTGAGTGCTGAGCTCCTGCTGCAAATTCTAGGGATATAGTGTTGTGTGTGACCCTGAAACTGTGGCCTTAGGCACCACCTGGATTCCTTAGGGATGGTCCTTTCCAGGACCACCAGCTGGATTCCTTGGGCTGCCCAAATCRTAACCAGTTTCTGCTTCTACTTGGGCATCAAGTGCCTTCCATGGCTTCATCTATTCTCTTTCTCTAGAAGAGAGAATAGATATCTGTTCTCTTGGATCTATATATCATGACCTACATCTCACTCTCTTTAGATAGCCTCGAGAGAACCTACAGCAGAAGACTTCAGCTAACATCTTGTCACTYTTGCCTAGCAGAATGCCTTAAAAAGGGCCCTTTTTTTTCCTTAGCTGTATTCCCTATAAACACGCCTCTGGGATTCTGCTACAGATTATTACAGAGCATTAGGGAGGTTATTACGAGCTAGATGCCATCTGCTAGTGCCTGAGCTGCAGGTACTAGTAATTTGTTGCATAGCACCAGTGGTCGCTTGTCTCGGTTTGGGCAAAGTGGCTCCAGTTYCTGCATGCAATGGGATCAGGCATCTTTTGGGCATCTTTTCAGCTTTATTTTTCATCCTTTGGGTGAAACATGTACATCATGATGTTAGTCACTGGTTTTCAGCACTGGGAAATGTTTTAAAAACCTGATCCTTCAATAACTAGACTTTTTTTCCATAGTACTGCTCAGTTGAAATTACCTCACTCCTCTCTCCCCAGATTGCTGCCACATACCTGGCATTCCTTCATTTTTAATGAGATGGAGTGGGGGATTTCACMCTCCTGGAATTTTAGAGGAATAATAAGTGGATTTCTTCTGAAAAGCCCCATTTAGGGTCCAGAGGCCCCTGGAGAGACAGTCCTTGCACAGTGAACTTTAGCTTTTCTTCTGGTAGTGACCATGAGAAATTTAGTTCTCTCTTCAGTTGCTGCTTTCTACTTGAACCTTGTTCTAATTGCCACCATTGATGGAAAAGGGGTTGGAGTAAGTTTCTGGTGTCCCAACTAGTTGAAGTAGAGGGTCTTCATCTTCACAAGAGTAGCATTAGCAATGCTAGTTGCAACTCCTCAGCTGGTGGCACTTGCCACCTCTACCAGCAGCTGCAGTGAAACCAGCTCTCCACGTGGATGAAGCAACATAAAGGCTGCCAAGGCAAAATATGTGTGTTCCACACACACATAAATAAGCYGTATGGGATCGAAGGTTCCTCCAGTCTGCTTCTGATGGCAGTATCTAGTGAAGAGAAGAACAGGGTAAGTGTGAAGAGAGTCTGTTTGCAACCCTCACCTGCTGTCCAGGTGCTCGGGGCTGATGGATTTGCTAGGAAGGACTTTGCCATACCACAATCAGCTGAAATCACTGTAGTCTGGTGAGTCCTCATTGCTGAGAGAGTACAGACTGGCACATACAAAAATGACAATGTAGTGTGACCAGAGCAGTTTGGCCAAGGAAGGCCACATAGTGGTTTCAGATCTCTGCACCTAGGTACTTGTCCATCTTCTACAGCAGAAGATGTGAAGCAGGAGTGATGTGTGTGTAAAACAGGAAGAGACTGTAAATAATTATAGCTACTTAATGCTATTTAACCATCAAGAATAGCAAATGCTGCCTCCTCAGTGTCTGTCCTTTCAGTAGATCCATTACCAGTGCAGGATTCCCCCTCCTTACATGTG